AAAACACCCTTCTTAGTTGTTGAAATCCTCCTAGTCTCTCTCGAGTACTAAAGGATTAGGATATAATATTCCTAGGCCGGTTCAAAGCCCCTTGAAAATACTATAGCCCATTGCTTATGAGGATTTTGTCTTGTGTTTCTCTCGAATACTAAAAGTATTTTTAGCTTAGGTTTCTCTCGAACACCTAACCTTCATCTAAGAAATGGACACTCTCATGCCTCTTACAAGCCTAGATGGTGAAGTATTCATAAGCAAAGCAAGCAAATAACCAAGATAAACATTAATCAACCATTAACATAAAGTTTAAACAACCATTAAACCAACCACCACCAAATAAGTTAGTTCATGGTGGGGTTCAAAATATCCACAAAATAAATCATGAAAATATTCGTTCCAGCAACCCAAGAATAATATATAAAAATAATAGCAAAAGGGAAGTGAGAAGAAGCCTTCGACGCGCGCCACCGGAGGTCTCCTCGACCACCACGAACCACCTTAGCTAGTTAGCTCCTTTCGGTGCCTAGCTCACCACTCCTTGAAGCTTTATCAATGGAGGAAAACCCAAGGAAGAAGAAGAGAAATAAAAATATGATTTTTTCTGCTCTATGCGTGTGTGTCCTCTTGCGTATGTCATTCTCTCCCTTGAGGTGTCATATATAATAAAAAATATCTAGGGGTAATGATGAGGTTGTTGGGTGCAAAATACCCCTCATACCCCTAGAATCACACCATAACCGTGAACCTTATCCTCCAGGTGGTAGTGGTCCTCTGGCAGGCGGTTACAACAATCATTTCACGTGCAGAGCTAGCTGTCCTCGTACAGCTGTATCATTTTGTCGTTTTTTGTGCTAGAAATGCCAAGGCATTTCAATCTGCTTCAGCAACGTGTGATGTCACGGTATTACTTCCCAAAGAGTCCTTGTCTGCTATTCCCTGCACACCACAAACAATTGCACCTTTCTCTCATACAGCACCATTAAGAAATAAAACAACAATACCACCACAAATGCAACTATATGTAACTACATTATCCAAAAATGACTAAAATGTGCTTTTAAACAAACAATAACTTAAGTTAAAAAGGCCTTAAAAGTAGCCTTTTTAGGAAGTTAACAATTTTGTTAATTAAATTCCTTGCCTAGCTTGATTGTTTAGCCCACTTTATGAGATTTTAGCCTTGAGCACGAATGTCCTTATTTTTATGTTCCTTTTCTTGCTGAGTGTGTCAAATTGAATAATGGAAATCTAGAACTTGTGGCATTAATGCATTTTGAAATTACACATGAAATAGGATGTTTTGAAATGATTTAGGCGTTAGGTTTCACCCCCATTTTTTCCCAATAAAAAGCATACCCTTTCTTTTCCATTAGTGAACCAAGTTGAGTATATGCATATTTCTTTGTTTTCACCTTCATTATAACCACAAACCTTTTTTCACCTCTTCTTTATAGCCTTGTCAAGAAAGGATTGAAACATCTTTGCACCCTTGTTCTACCCGATAAAAACATAAAAATAGGGGCATTTGAAAAACATAAGAAAAAAAAAGAAAAGTCAAAAGAAAAAAATATTGTTTTTTATTTTGCTTTTGTACATATTTTAGTATTTCATTTGTTCATGAAATTCGGGTGATTTATTTAAGAATTCTTTATCGTGATTTCAAACCTTCATTCTATCCCTTTTTTCTCATCTTTACCTAAGCCTCATTACACCCTTTCTAAAGTCATAATGATTTTGCATCCTATTTCTTCTAAGTAGTGGAGAATTGATTCTGTCACAAGCCTATGGAGATCCTTGTTTAATTTTGACTTTGAGCGAACTTTTTGCACCCGAAACACGTTGAGTGATTTGAGTGAATCATTGTGAGGAATTAAGTTGGGCTACATTTTTAATTAATAAATGATAGATAATTGTAAGGTTGTCAATTCGTTCTTACTTATGTTTGTTCACTTGATTGGTGCTTAATTCATGTAAATTTTGTGAGCTTGATTTTCATGATTTTGCTTAAGCATGCAACAATTTGGGGAAGGAAGATTAAGCTTTTGATTAGTTTAATTTAAGCATACTTGAGGACAAGTATGAGACAAGTGAGGGGGAATTTAATGAGTGTTTGAGATTGACACCTTTTGCTTACTAATTCCCTTGTCTTATGAATTTTTCACTGTTAATTTGGATGTTTTGCTTTTATTTTATGTGCAGTGACTTGTTTGCTAGAATTGGTAGCAAAAGGGTGCATTTTACAACTTTTCATTTTTTCTGATCGTTGCTGGGAGCATGGGCACGACGCGGGGATAATGTGACAGAATCACAGAAGATACTGGAAGGTTCTAGAGACATATCCAATCAGCACGATTCTGATAGAGATTTTAGGATTTCAATTTGTTAGTTTAAAATTTGAAACACTTGATTTATCATTTAGATTATCTTGGATTTTTATTTTGTTATCTTAGATTTAAGAAGTCTATAAATACCCTTCATGGGTAAGGGCTTGAGGATTTGGTTTTTTACTTTTTTTCTTTTGGGTATTTTTATTTTTATTGAGTCTTCATTTTTCTTTTTTACTTTCTTTCATTTCCAAGTTATTTTATTTTACAAATCTATGCTAAGTATGATCATCAATATCATGCTTAGCTAATTTCCTCGTGCCAAGAGCTAGTAATGAATCAATTTTATTCATGAGAATCGAACAAAGTGTTTAAATCCGTTCGGGATACATTCTCATTTTTCTGAATAAAAGAGCTTGGCAATTGGCCTTGTTCATAATTTTTAAACGTTTTCGAATCAAGAAGTCAACGTTGGTCTGAACATTATTTAAAAATATCGATGGAAAGAAAGATCGGCCTGTGGCACTTCGACTTCCTGTGAACACGCTTAACGACGGTCCGCTAAGGTACGAGATTGAAATCAATTCTCGATGAGACAACATCTGATTCGGGGCTTTCTAGTTTTTAATCTGAATGTTTTAACGGCAATAGATATGGTTAATCCACTCAATAATCGTCTTTTAAGTATAGACTTGGGAAGATCGGTTACACAAGAGAAGGGTAAGTTACAATGGGATGGGCCTTGTAGATTGTAACTGACATGAATCCCAGAGCAAAAATGTATTTCTATGATAGAAGAAATTGAAACAAAGCTAGCTCGAGGCAGTTTATCTCATCGTAATTTTCTAAAATTATTTAATACTTTCTTCTGATTCATTACTTTGTTCAATTACTTATTTGATTCTACTTAGTTGCTTCATCTTAAATTCGCCTACCACACCCATTTTTTTATTTATTTTGTTTTGTTACAACTTCCTGGACGAAATCAACATAAATCGTATCAGAGATTCCAACATTTCCCTATGGATCGACCCTCTTTCACTGTTTTACTTTTCACTTATTTATTTTATTTTCGAATAGGTTTATTTTATTTTGACAAGTAAAATGATGCATGTCAGTGTTGTTGGAAGACCAACCTCAGTGTTGATTATGTGCTAGCTATAACCTTGTATACTTTATTATTGATGCAATAACGTTATATAAGTCGGGATGGACAGAAGGAAGTGGGTGGGGCGACATAGAAAGAAGCGGGTGAGGTAGTTGTTCCTGAGACTTTGAATATTCATATATTTTAATTATTTTCTTTGTATTTCCTATTAATAATACATTTTCGTTTTCTAGAATTTTATAAATTCATCTCTAATATAAAATCTTGTATGTAAGACCGTGTGTATGATATATCTATGTGTGCAAGAATGTTGGAAATGATGTATGTGCAAAAATGTTTTATAAGGCCATGTATATAATATATAGATATATCATATGCATGTCATATTATCCTAGTCCTTGACTTTTTTTTTTTACAGGAATTACTAATTTTATTGAAAGAAAAACTCCAGAATAACAATAAATGTTTACAATTATAATTGTATGCTAAATATATAATTAAGATATTTTTATAACCATTGTTATAAGAAACTAGTCATTTAAGATCATACAAGTACTATATAAGAAAAAAGTTAAAAGTTCAATCAAAATAGTCGAGCAATGACTGATACAAATATATCGAATTGCATTGGTAAATGAACCACAAAAATGGATCAAAATTATTGAAAGACAAACAACAAACCGCATATTAGAGTCAAGCGATGTTAGAAAATTATTCACAAATACAATTGTATATCATAATCTAATTCGAGTGTCCAAAGTGTGAAAGATCATCAAAATAACAAATAAGGGAAACACATATGATAGGATACTCGATTAAACAACCATTCTTTTTTTAGTAGCCTGTGGTGATTTTAAGGAAATATATATTCATAATCTTTTTTATATATTGACAATACATCGGGATGGCTTCAACCCAAGATCTTTATGAAAGATAGTCCCCTTTAACCATTAAAGTAAGACAATGAGTTCCGTTAAACAACCATTATAAAAATAAATCCAATTGTATGCATAAATTATCATGTTCAAATTCCAAGTCCAGATTTATACAATTCAGCTCCTTGATTTATTTTGGTATTAAGGACTGGAATCAATTATATTGTAGTTATATCCCCTGTTTCTCAAGAACTTTATGGTCCAAGTGTATTTGTTAAAATGCCGTTTACGTTGAGTTCTTTAAAACTTCATCTTAAATAGATAAATATTAATTATACCTTTTGAAAGAAAGAAAAAAAATCAGAATGTAGAGAGGCTTTTTTACGTTTCAAGACGAGGATACGTTAAAAATAACGAAATTCTTTGGATATGTGATAGAAGGATCAAAATGAACTCCAGAACAAATGTAGTGATAAGCAGTAATGATGATGGTGGCAAGTAGCAAAGGATGATGAAGATCATGGTGGTTGCAGTGAGGATAAGTCTAAAATTAAAGAACGCAAAATTTGGAAGTACATAAATAATACTGGGGCAAATGCTTTTAAAAGTACCAATGCAGGCGCAAAATATTATAAATTTATTTAAATTAAGAATATTTTAAACAGTCTATATGGGAGGCGGTCCAAGTTCCAAGTCTAAAAGTAAATTTAGCTAAAAGAATTTTAAAAATAAAACTAGGAGAAGCAAGATTATGCAGATGTGTGTGTGTGAGAGAGAGAGAGAGAGAGAGAGAACGAGATATGAGACGCACGTGTTGATTCACCATCCCCCCTAGGACTAAAGTTTATTCCTATGTGATCAAAAACGTCCCTTTTCAGCACTGGTGCCCAGCCAGTCCCACAGGCCAAAGGACTAAATTGCATTATCTGCAAAAACCTGCATAAATTTGAAAACACCTTTGGGGTTTGTCACTGAAAAATGCTACTGACAGAACAATCATCATGAACACGCCAGATGGTTTCACCCAACAGGTTCGCAACCGAAAGAACGGTCAGCTGAGGGAAGTAATTCTTCTCTGCTACTGGCAGTGTGTTTGTTATGATTACTTCTTGAAATAGTCCGCCTGATAACCTCTCTATTGCCGGAGGACTGCCAACAAAAACACACAACAACAGCAGCAGCAGCAAATGATATCATTCAAATGGTTGAATACCATAAATCAGCTTTTACCAACAAGTACATCCAAAAGTTTTCAAAACCTGAAAACTGCATGAGTACAGCATGCATAAACTTCCCTTGCCCCCTCTTGGTGTAAAAGTGAAGCCCCCTTCGCAATGGTTCCTATAAAACCCCAAAATGTTCACTATAAGAATCAACTTAATTTTGAACAGGTTTATGTCTGCCAATCATCAGATTGCATTCATTTACCAGCAGTGTCGATCATGTCGTCCACCATAACTGCAACTTTTCCTTTGACGTCACCGATAAGGTTCATTACCTGAATAATAAATGAACTAAGGTGAGAAAAATAATACAAACTGGACTCAATGCCCCTGTAAATCAGTCAAGGCTGATTCCTACTGTCATTACGATTAAACTGAGCAATTACTGAAACACTCACAGTAGACTTTGTGCCTATTGACAAATGTACTACTACATCCATGGACAACATCATATTTCACAACCGTATATAGAGAACTTTAGAATAACAGTAAATATAATAGTAAAATCAACAAGGAAGACTGATAATGACTGTAATCGTTGAGAAAGCATTACCTCTGCAACATTGTGTGCATGGCGCCTTTTATCCACAATGGCTAAGGGTGCATCTGATAGTTTTTTTGCAAAAGCACGCGCTCTTGCAACTCCACCAACATCAGGTGAGACCACTACCAAGTCATCAGAACAAATTCTCTTGCTGGCAAGATAATCAAGAACCACAGGCTATACAATCCACAGCACAAAAGTACAAATAAATCGGCAATCATTTAGTCATTGACAGTCAACATATAAGTTTGAAGCCTGATGACCGAATACCTGGCAGTGCACATGGTCCACTGAGATATCAAAATAACCCATGGACTGCCCAGAATGAAGATCACAAGCAAGAACACGGTTTGCACCAGCTTCTGTGATAAGATTTGCAACTAGTTTGGCTGCAATGGATTCACGCCCTTGGGTCTGAAAATAAAATTACAGGCAGAGAGAAGATAGCTCACTACACTTTAAGAAAACAGTATGATTCAAACGCTTCAGAAATTCATGCCAGAAGCAAGGCGTTGACACAAACGGCATAATTCCAACATGAGATAGCACAATTTTATTACTGGTTATGAATGACACAGGCTGTTTCAACTTTCAGGACATCTGCTTTTAATCCATTCAATTTGCCGCTTACATCTCCACACATACTCATATTTTTATGATTTTATCCCTCAAAAATTATTGCCAAATACATTGAACTTACCTTTCTATCAGCTCTGGCATAACCGAAATACGGAATCACTGCAGTTATAGTTTTGGCTGACGCTCTCCGACAAGCATCGATCATAATGAGAAGCTCCATAAGATTCTCATTTGCAGGAGGGCATGTTGGTTGCACTATATACACATCACATCCTCTAACACTCTCTTGCAACTGAACATATATTTCCCCATCAGCAAACCTCTTTATGTTGATCTGTCCCAGTTCCAGGCCCATGTACCAAGCAATTTCCTGCAACAGAACAGATTAGATAAGACATGCTCTAAAAATAACTCAAAAAATGGACTATTACTATCAATATAGATCTGCATTTGTAGGACAAACAGTGGAACAACATTCAAGCAGACATCATATTGTCTCATCCAAACTGCAAGGGCTCAGAAGAGATGGTGGAGACTTTATCAAATGATATTTAGCAATTGAATTTTATCATATAGTCAAAAAAAATCTATAATTGCTTCAGAACTGAGGCAGTTCTAGAAATTCCTTTCACTTGCAGTCTATCACCCACCAGCAGCACAGGCAAAAACCATTAATGTCTACATCCTATTAATCTTATATTTCTATATGCATGTTGAAAGCAAAACCTAGAAGAAGAAAAAAGCAATACAGTAAACAAAATGACAAGGCAATAACTTTACCTGAGAAAGTGCAGGGTTGGCTGTGCCCGAAAACAATTTGAGCTTAGCACCATTTCTGGTGGCAGTTGTATCCATTCTAGTTGAATCGACGAACTTGGGCAACATCCTTTCATTAAGGATTGGATTCCTTGGTTTCCCATTTCCATGATTCACTGGTTGATGCAGTTCACATTTCTTGTACTAAAAAAATAGACACATATCAGCACAGCTCTAAAAGTCACTCAAAACATACAACTCTTTTTCTTCCAAAACCTTCATTGAAAGAATACTCTCCTCTGGAAATTTTGTTGTAGAAGAATCAAAAGCAAGCCAATTATTGGAAAAAGAAACAAACGTTGAACGGTGGATTTCATTACATAAAGCACGTGCAGCATATATCACAGAAAAGTAAATATAAAATCTTAAAATTCAACGAAAACCATCAAAGAAATGCATTCATAGAAAATAAAAGGCCGATAATAAAAATAACAACAACAACAAAATGCCTTTCACTTCAAAACCTTGAATACAGTGAATAAAGCATACCAAGCTATTCGAAGCGCAGATACGGGGGCTAGACAAATTGAAAGAGAAGCTTTTCGGACTAAGAGAAGCACGAGTGAAGAGAGAAGAAGAAGACAGAGACGAAGAGGATTTGGACGGCGAACGAATCGTCAAGGAAGCCATTTCTTCTTTATCGTTAATGTGTTGTGATTAGGGTTGGGATTTCGACGTTTAGAAATTTAAGAGGGCGGAGGTACTGGGGTGGAATTTTTATGGATGGTCATCTACACGTTGTGGCTATCGTCTTCGTTTCCTTTCCTCCACCAACTATGGATTCCGGATGCTACGTTTCTCACTATAAATCAGGCCAGGCCTAAATATGAATTTTAATTTTATATTGTTCAGTCTTTTTAAAAAAATTAATTAACACCTTTATATTTTTATAAATAAGAGAGGGGTTCAAATTTAGAGTTTTCAAATGAAATAAATTGAATTAGGAGGATCGTTATCGTCTTTGTAATATTCGATTTAGATTATTAAATCAATAAATTGGATGTCAGAGATTAATTCAAAAAATATTTTTAGTACTATTATATCATAAAATATAAAAAAAAATCAAGTAAGTTACTACTGTGGATATTGAATTATAATGTATTTTTTTTATTTTATTAATTTGATCATTACATGTTTTATTTTAGTGGGTTTTTAAATGTAATTTAATTTTTTTGGATAAGGTGATATGATCCTGATTATGTGTTTTGAGTAATATATTGTGTTGCCCGATCGTGATTCTAGTAAGAACTTCGCAGTGCTTTGATTGAAGACTGAAAATGCACAAACAACGTTACAAGAAAGAAATTGATATAAGTAAATTGAAAATGAAAGGTTGTAGGTTATGATAAAGTGGTTTGAAAGGTGGTGAAAGAGTGATGATTGTTGTGGTTTAATGAAATGAAGGAAAATGGGGAAAGTGTAGTGGTGATAATAATTTATAGTGTGGAAAGAATGGAAGTATGGTGAAGGTCAAAGATGTTATGGCGTGGAAGATGAATGATGAAATAAGAAGTGTGGATTGTGACACACTAGCTATATGGAGCTAGGAACCAACAATATACAAAGATGGAGTCGAAGTGATAGAGGGTGGAACGTGACCCACTAGCTATAGGTGAGATAGGAACCAACATTATAAAAAATGAAATAGAGGAAGTTTCAAGACTGACAAGAAACTGATAGAGTTTTAATCCAAGAACTAAAATGAAAGTAACCTTTCAAAGAGTTTTTTATGCAAAAAGTTCTAAGTACAAATGTCATGGAGGTTCCTATTTATAGTGTTGATAAGCACCATATAAAGAGTTTTTACAATTAAAATAAAATAATCACCTAAATGCAATTGAATTCAATTAAATGACTTATCATTTTCTTATCCTTTGATGACCACTCTTGTCTTTTACCACTCGTGCTTTGATTTTAAGTCCTTTTGGGAACTTCCTCAAGGCTTATAAGGTCTAGTGGACTTCGACTGAAACAATTGTAGCTTGGTAGTAAGGATAGTGAAAAGAAATTGACTACAAGGAAAAGAGATGGTATGTAAAGGTAACAAAATTGAATAATGGAATATAAAGATGAAGTAAACATTTTTTTTCTTTAAAGATGAAAAGAATTACTCCCACCCTCTTTAATTTTTTTTTCTTTCTTTTGTTTTTATTTTTATTTTTTACTAACCTGGGAGAGAGAAAATGATGCGATAATCTTACTGAATCGGCTAGCTCTAATACCAACTGATATGATCGCCAATAGTAAAGATCCGGAGAAGTACCCAAGTGGCCCCATCACACGAGCAAGAGCTAAGGAGTTTTAAACAGCCATGGAGAGTATGTTTACATCAAGATTGGAATGTGATGAAGGAGGGATAATAAGGGAGGAACATTTTACGTTGCTTATGCATGAATTTGCATGAGAATTTGAAGTTTGCATAACATTCATTGCATTTAATAAGTGTATTGTTCATTCAAGCATGCATTGCATTTAAATCATGTAGTTCATTTAGGGAAGTAGTTCATTAATTAAAATAATTCATTTATTAAATTAATTATTAATTGTTTCATGCATGTTTTCAATTAAATATTGAATAAAGTTCACCTTTGTGTCTAGGTGCATGAGAGAAGTTGAACGGTTTCATCATATGTAAGAATGTCAGTCAGAATGTCTTCCAATTCTGGATACGATATAGATGTGTTTGGTTCTATAAATCAATTGGACATTATTCCTCTATATCTTAGCTTCCCAATGCCTTTTGAATCACCTTAATCCGATATTGGGAACTTGAGATATGGTCGATTTATTGAAGACAGTGCAGGCTGGAATTTTGTTACGGGAATTTTATGCGTGGATGATTTGGATGAGTTTGAGCCAAGGGAGTCTTTTCAACTTCAGCCAAGTGACAAGCCATTGAATGACTCTTAATTCACCCATTCAAGGCATTTAAAGCTGGTTGTTATCATCTAAATTCAAGGGTTGTTCATATTCTTCAAGGGAGCATGCAATGAAGGGTAATTTAATTCACTTGTTAAGACAATTTTCAACGTGGAATAGCAAGAGTCTTCCACCCCTTGGACGAAATTAAGGCCAAATTCAGCTTCAAATTTCTAGATTCATCCCCAAAATGATCTAAAATATTCAGCCAACCTTGAAGATAAGAAGACAAAGCATTCAAGTGCATTTTATTGCTAAATTGATGAGAATGTTTTCATCTTTTGAGTCTTTTCATATGTTGTTTAGAAATACTATAAATAGACACCTTTGGGATCATTTGTAGACACATTTGAATATATAAAACATCTTTGAGAGGTTGCTTTTATTCTTGTTCTCTTGTAAAACTTTATCGGCTTCAAGATAATCTTATTGTCTTCATCCATTTCCTTTTGTTATAGCGTTGGTTCCTAGCTCATCTATAGCTAGTAGGTCACGTTCCAACTACTTCCACTTCAATTCCATCTATTTATATTGTTGGTTCCTAACTCCATATAGTTAGAGGGTCACAATTTGTTTTCTTTTCAATCCATCTTTCATATTCCACGCCATTACCAACCCATACCTTCGCCGTACTTTCGGTACATCCAAACTACAACTTCATCAACTTCCGTTCAAAGCAAGCAATTCAATTTCTTACTAGAATCACGATCGGACAATCATATATATGATTTGAAACTCATAATCGATATCATATCCTAAGGTAATTTGTAATTTTAGGTAATTTGAAGTGGTAATTTAAAACTTCGGTTATTTGAGTGAAATGATAAGCATGAATTATCTATTTACCAAATTTAGCTTTATAGTTTCTCGAATTTTTTTAGAGACTTTTATTATTTATGGAGACGATATAAAAATGTATATTTATTTTTGGACTGAATATCACGGTTAGTATTTTTATTTGATTTTAATATTTAAAAATTATAAATTTAAATATTAAAGAGTACGTCCCGTTTAAACATTATAATTAATGTTTTTTTAATTAATTTGGAATGAGACCTATTTGATGCATGTCCATTGGGATTAATTCTGCTTCCCGGTTTGGGAAATCCCATTATGTTAATTGGGCTAGAATTTATTGCACCCCTTATTTGGGGGCGAAGTTGCTTTTTTAGGCTGAATTTTAAATTTTAAAAGATTAAAGTATACTTTTATTATTATATTAATTTATTAATAAATTATATTACGGGTATGTATAGTAAATATACACATTTCAAAATCTAGTATTTTATGAATGAATAAAGCATATATTGTCATTTTGCTCGCGACGAAGTTAGTTTCAAAAGTGGCATTTTCGTTTTTTCTTAAGCAGGATCAATTTATCGATATATATAATACAAGTCATGAGTTCTAACAATGATGTGTAGGATATTCACTTTTAGTCATCGCATGTTAGTGAAAAAATAATTAGTATATTATTATGATAGTTTTTGTATTTGCTGGTGGGAGGAAATTGATTGCTTCATTTGTTTGCGATTCACTTCCTTTTGTTTGAGCGGAGAGATACAGCGGCGCGAGGATAGTCATAAATCGGTGTTGGATTTGATGAGGTGAGAGAATGGATGTTAGATAAATGAATCGAGTTTGAACGAATAAAGTTGTGTTGGTGTGTATTTATTTATTTTAGAAGGCGTTCATGTTCATTTAAATTTTTAGTATCATGTTTGTGCATATTTATTTATTTTTGAAGGTGTTCATATCCGTTGGTTCAGTGTTCGTGAACATGTTCATTTAACGTTCGTGAACATGTTTATTTAAGTTCACAAACATGTTCATTTAACGTTCGTTTATTCGAGAGCCAACACTCTTGCAATAAAAATGGTGAAATTATACCACTAAACCTTAAGCTTCATAGTTTGAACCCCAAAGTTCATTTTGTGTTCAATTTAGTTCCTATCATCATCAATATTTAAAATGTAAGTAAATAAAAGGAAAATGACATATTAAATGAGCTATTAAATGAGTCTTTAAAGGAGCCAATGAATGAGTGGGTTCTAAGTTAAAATTATTGGGTTTAGAGCATTTTTTAATGAAACAAACACCAATCCCGTGTTCATAATGTTAAAAATGAGTGGATTAGAAATTTTGGGATCCAAATTTCATTGACACCAACGACGATCGGTGGTGATCGGTAGAGACAATGGTGACTTATGAAAGACGACAGAAGATTCTAATCAAATTCAGGGGTTAAATTGATATTTTATCTAAACTTTAAGATCAAAATGAAATCTCATACAAAGTTTAGGGGTAAAGCTAAAAATATCCTTTTTACTAACATGTCACGTGATCAAACCAACAAGAGTTAACAATAAAGTGACCAAAATATAGTAATCGATAACGTAAATGATCAAAATTTAATAAATCGATAGTGTAATTGATTGAAATGTAACATTTTGAAAATCAATGATCAAAACTAAACAAAACTTAAATAAAAGTGATCATTCTGATAGTTTAGCCAAATTATAACCATGTGAAGATTTTAACCCTAAACGCCGCTCACTTTGAAGCGGTTACTAGGGTTTCTTTGTGCCTCTATAAATACTCTTTTCGCTACCTTCCGCAAGCGGTTTTTGTTCCTCGATAGTACGATGTCTTTCAATTTCTCTTTTGTTGTAAAAGTATTTGCGATGATGAATATTATGGTGTACCAGAGAAGTCTCCTATGACGGTAGCACAATCCCTCTAAGAAGTTCTGAGCTTATCTTTTCCTATTTTTGTTATTAGATTTAAACTGGGCTTTCTGGGTCATTTTTTAAACAAAAAAAAAAGAGAAGTAAAGGGATGTGATGGTAGAAATTCAATGGTCTGTCAATCCACTGATATAATATTTTGATGTTAAATTGAACTTCCGACAGGTTCTGATCCTTTTTTTTATTTCTCTGTTTATCAGAAGATTAGATCATGTTCTGAACTTGTCTTACTGAAATGTGTTTTGGGCATGTGATGAATCTCTTTCCTATGGGTAATTTGCGTCTGAATTAGTTTATTTATAATAATTACCTCTGGCCTCATATACCATGATGGGATGTCTTTCAAGTTCTCGGATGCAAGAGATTGAACATTCTCTAACCGTCGATTGCTTCCCTGTCCGTCCTTTACAAGGCAGTTCACGACCGAACCAAAGCGTTTGACTTTTGTAAATACCAAGTGTGTTCCGGCCTCATATCGAAAGCCAATTGGGAAAAGGACAAAGCAAAGTAGATGCCATTAATCGCTTGAAGAGATTCTTTATCAGTTTCACCAGACTTTAGCTAGCAATTATCACAAAACTATATGGATGGAGTGATCTCAACGGAGGAGAGGAATTTTATGTTATTTTTTAATGTCTAATGGATGTAAGTAGTAATAGATTAAAAAATATTTTTCAGTATAGTCACATGAGACGGAAAGAAATAAAATTTTAAGGTGAAAATAGTCTGTAAAGTAAGTAACTAATAGAATAAATTCAAATATTAGAGTGGGCAAAAAAATTTTGGGGTGAATACTGTCAGCAAAATAAGTAATTAATCAAAGAAAATTAAGATTTTAGGGTAGGTACAAAAAATTTCATGATGGACACTATTAGTGAAATAAGTAACTAATCGAAAAAAATTTAGAAAATAAGTAACTAATCGAGAAAAAAATTAGATTTTAAGGTATGTAGTATAAACTCTGACTAAGTTGTGGCTCCGCCAACGGATACTGGCTTATATTGATCTACTTACACTTGTTGAATGAATTATAAGCTTAGCATATTTTTGTATGCTAAAATTATGTCTCCATCTTCATCAAAGAAAGTAACTGGATGAACAGCAGCAGTGCTGACATTGAGAGCCCTCTGCAATTTACGATGGTCCAAGACTTCAACATCAACTACGAACATCGAACTCACTGGTCGATGATCCGAGAGTCTTATATCTGCTCGTTGGTAACAAAGTTGTTTTATGCCTTTTCCCGACCAGAGTATACGATCACACCTACCAAGGGAATAATGTAGATCATAAGAAGATTGAATTGTGTGGAACTTAATGAATAATCAGTTACATGACCACTAGACAATTACTTATGAAGCTCTGCTTACCATGCCGGAGATCTCTTCTTCTCGCCTTCTTTAGGGACCTCACCGACGTATCTATCGGAATCTATTTCGTATTTGTATGTGGGAGGAAAATCTATTGTTCCCTCATTCCATCCATCAAATACATGACCACTACACAGTTCCTTATGTAGCTGTGGCACAGGGTTGAAGACATTAGCTTTTATTCTCATCAAAGTAGCGTTTACAAGGGCAAATCTAGATCACTGTGATACTCACCTGATCATAGTCCATTAGTTCGTTCCAGCGCTTTTCAGCAACAAGACTTCTTACGTCTGCATCCAGCATGTTGAGACGATAATTTAAATCCCCGAACCAAAATATCTGACTGTTTACACAGGCAACCAGTTGCTACTAATTCATGTCTCCGGTTGAATTTCTTGCTTAAATCAAAAGTAGATGCTAAAATTTTGCTTACTCATGAGCCGGAATTGTTTGAGGTTGATATGTATCGAGGACAGATGAGAAACTGGTACGCCGTATAATTTCATACACATCGGAGTTACGCCTGTGTTCAGCTCCGTCCTGGCCGGATGTCAAATGCGAACACACAAAGCAAAGCCTGGACTGGAAAAGAGTCATGCTTACAGAAACAGACCCCTGCAAAATCAAAAGCCATCCAGGCATATCAACAATAATAAAGCAGCCATTTTCAGAAATTGATCAGTGTTAATGGTATAATGTCATCCACCTTAAGAATTGCAAACCTAGAAAAGAAGAATGTTCATTACCTTGTTTCCCATGTAGCCCATAAGGCCAACTCCAACAGGAGAGACTTTTAAATTGTTTATATGTCTCCTCAGCCTCTTTCTCACCCATACAGATATGTATATTCCAACCATCTGCTTACTAACGATTCGAACGTACTTCGGGTGTGACCTTGGCCTATCGTTTTCTTGTTGCTCCATTGGTACATCTAAGAACAGGTCATCCTCTTCTTCAGAAATCTCATCAGAGGTATCTGAGAAAGAATCTACAGTTTCTAGGAATGGTTGCTCATGCATACACATTGACTCTAGGTTTCCAGAGCTATGGTGGGATCTTTTCAATCTGCTTTCTTTTAACACTATATCATGAGGATAGTGGAAGATGGAGTTCTCTGTCAGATTAAAGCCTATTCTTGCAGAGCTGCTCAGTACTCGATGTAGTTTTGAATTCGACGAGATAATTTGTGGGGTTGCATCTAAAGGATGTTCAGGCCAGTCTAAACTAGTGTCGAAGTCGATACCATAGATTCTCCTCAGCTGAAGATTTAGTCCAACATTAACATCTTTGTTCAGATCTTTCCCTTCAAGATCATAGCCATTAGCAGTCTCCAAATATTCATCACACGTCACTTCCGATGGCAGAGCTTCGATTATGTCTGCTAATACATCTGCAACTGAAGTTCTTAACACAGGAGAAGGGGGAGCACTGAAGCATTTGTGCTTGCTTTCAGGTACCAACGATTTGTTTAGAGTTCTCCTAATGATTGCCTCCCATTTCTGAATCGGCCTGCTATCCTCGGCTCCAAAGACGTTTCCTGCGTTCAAAGGGACTACCTCTTGGAAGCTGTCCAAAGCAGATCCAGTATGACATCAACAATCAAATACAGTTGAGGAGAAATCCAAAGAAAAAGTATCGAACAGGCAACGAAAATACTCACCCGATAATGTAAATATCGGCCGCCTCTGTCGTGCAAAGCCAATCATCAATCTCAAGATCCTCATCTGGAAGTCTTCCGGCAACATTCCAAGTGCTTAGTGTCACCCTACAAGTAACCAAGATATGTTTCAGTTAGAATTAGAACAGCAACATCTTAAAGCTTACACTTTGATCATAGGCATCTTGCAGTCAAACCTCACATCCTTTGTGTTTATGTACTGCGCACGCAGAGTTTCCGACTTTCCCCGTCTATGTCCTAATCGATAGCCTTTCGAAGGTTCATCTGAACGATGAAACATCAAAAAAAAAAACCTTCAGTGTCACGATCTACAGATTAACTTGAAACTTAATTGTACTCATTTTGATCTGCACACTAAAGAATGTGAAAAAAATATTGCCTGGAATTTGGTCTCTGCACTCAGATTGTTTCCCCAATGACCTATGGGTATGATCCTCACCATTATGCAACCTTGAATCTTTAAGAGAGCAAGCTGGATGGATATTACAGGAAAAAGGACATCATCAAGCAGAAAGTAGAAGCAAATATGAGTATGGCAAGATATTATACCATCATCTTCACTCTCAGTTTCGGTGTCGACTTCGTCTTCGCTAAAATCGTACACCTTCGGCTTTATATTCAACCATTTCTTCATCACAATGGATGGCCAAAAGGCCTGAAATCAAACACAAACACAGTTCAACCAAGTTCATCATAAATACATCACTTTCATCTAAAGTGAAGAAAAAAGAAACTAACAAAGCATCAAAACAATACCTCAGGACGCTTTCCCCTCCTAGTTCTCATAACCAGAATTTGAGAATAGAAAGCCTGAAAAAAGCTTTCAAAGCCCTTGGCCTTGAAAAAGGAAGCAGAAGCAAGGGAAAGAGTCTGATTGTCACTGTTCTAGGATATCAATATATAGAATTCCCAAAACCCATTACAAACAGAGGCCTTAAGTTGGCATATTTGATGCCAAGCACTAGGAAAATTCATGCTACGACCAAACAGAAAAAGACACCAAAACTATGGCCATTTTTAACAGCCATCCATAACCTCAACTTGCAAAAGGCAGGAAAAAAAAAAAGACCTCCAATAATCCTACAACACGTCCCAATTTCATGCTCTAGAATGGCAAAATCAGCCAATCATAATATCTTTAAACTATAACCCAAAGACAGTCCCGTACAAAATCAGAATGTCACTTTCAATACAAAAAAACCATAATATCCTAAATCAATTGATAATGCGACATGCTTTCTATTCAAGCAATCATCTTTTAAGGAATCCATTGCAGGGCTGTTAAAAAAATACCAGTTTTAACTTGTATGAAACCCCAGCGGAGTTGAAACTACAACTAGTGCAAACAGAAATTCGAACCAAACATATTAGTATATGCTGTTAGGAGAAAAAAAATTAAACATAGAACCTAACTAGGATCTGTTAAACCAAATACTTGATTTGTAACATTCGTTATATCTTCTTACTTTCTTGACATGTAACAATAAAATGACAATTACTTAGCAATATTGGATAGGGCAGGAGTCATAGGTACTATTAACTTCCACGTCAACACTGTTAACAGCAAGTGTTCTGATTGAATATATTTAAATAGTTGGGTGATCTGATTGACAAGAATTCAAAAATGGTAATCGAAATAAAAAGGAGCTATAGTTAGGTGGTTATTGGTATAGTTTACTTATTCTCATCTTTACACAGACGGCGCTAAGTCCACCAAAGGAAATGGAAATCTATTAAACTTAGGTGGCGTTTGGTTTGCATGAATGTTTCTGAGGGAATTGGAATCTGTGAAGTAATTAGAATCTGTTAGGAATTGGAATCCAATTCCATTTTCTGTTTGGTTGGCAGGAAATTGAATTGAAATCCAATTCCATATTCTGTTTGGTTCGCAGACATGTCAGATGAATTTGATTTCAGTAATGTAAAATGACATGATTGTCCTTCTTCTTCTTTTTTTGCTTAATTTTAGTTTGTTTTATAAATTACATGTATCAATATATTATAAAAAATAAAAAAAATATTAAATTTTAATTTTATTGATTGATTATTCATTTCAATAAATTATAAAAATCATGCTAATAAACGTCATAAGTTAAAATCATCCCAATTAGGGATGGCCATGGGTCGGGTTTTTGGTCCACCCGATCCGAGAACAAGGGAACCTCCATCCGAGACCCGACCCGACCCGAATATATGAATTAGAAACCCGACCCGAAATAATAAAAAATTTATTTTTATTCAATAAAAACAGTGACTTAATTGAAAAAAAAAATTATATATAGAGGGGTATTATTGTAATTATTCCTAAACATATAAGGTAAAATTATAAATTTTTCGGGTCGAGTCCAGTATTTTTCACCCTAAACCCGAACCCGACACGACCCGAATATCACACTTAAAAAAACCGAACCGACCCTACCAAAATAAAGTTTCACCTGACCGACCCGAATATATGAATTAGAAAACCGACCCGACTCGACCCGAAATAATAAAAAAATATTTTTATTCAATAAAAACATGACTTAATTGAAAAAATTATATATATAGGGGTATTATTGTAATTATTCCTAAATATATAAGGTAAAAATATATATTTTTTCGGGTCGGGTCGGGTAGGGTATTTTTCACCCTAAACCCGAACTCGACTCGACCAGAATATCACACTTAAAAAAACTCAAACCGACCCGAACCCGATTTTTTTTTAAAAAAAAAATTTGACTCGATCGGGTCGGGTCGAAACCCATCGGGTCCGAGTTGAGTGGCCATCCCTAATCCTAATCAAAATATGTTAATAAGTTACCAAAAGATTGATGAAGGTAGTATGGTTAAATTTCACATTCCCTCCAACAAGAGAATTGAATTCCATCATAGAATGAATGAAATTCACTTTCCCTCATTTGACGGAAAGTTGAAGTCATGAGAGATTCTAATTCCCTTTGAAAACTTGAACCAAACATGAGAAAATGATGGAATTGGATTCCAATTTCTCCTAATTCCAAAGGATTCCTACAAATCAAACGTCACCGCATCCCTAAATCCAACAAAAGGAAACGGAAGGTTTGCACTGGAAACTTCAAATATATTAAACATATTAATTTAGGTAGAATGAAAGTAATTCAAATATTTAATTAACAAGAGCTGAGACCCTATTGGTCGGACGGTTTCATGCAATTTATATGATCTTCTATAAATAGATGTCATACAAATTATATATAAGAATATGTGAAGTATGTCTATCCATATACAGTGATTAATAATATAATTATGCATGCAGGTGAATATTATGTATCCGGAATTTAACAATACATCTTGAAGTGCAAAGAAGTTGGACCCGCGCACTATATGTGAAGGTAAAGAGCTCTGGGTTTCTACTCAAACGTCCCATCTATTTTCATTGATATTTACTTTTATTAAATTATAGAAACTTTTTTAAGCTTTCTGTTTTAATTATTGGACGGTGACTTTAACAGCCATGCATTGAAAAAGAATAAAACAACGGATTCACGCAAGATTTTAAGTTGGTGGATAAATTTAAACTTATAAATTTTTATAATGGTAAATTTGAACTTATAAAATTTTAAAAAAACGAAAATAGATTTTTAATAAAAAAATATATAAAAAAATTCTAAAATATACGATAATTTTAGAAAAAAAATCATAGGTACATCCCTGATTACAAAACTAAAGATAAGACGGTAGAGGCATGTGAAAATTTGTACGGATGGGTTTCCTGGTATTAGATTGGAGTTATGATCGGAGATGGATCGGAGGGTTAACAGGAGAGGTCATTTTTACGAAAATTTTAAATTCTCGTATAATTTAGATGTTTTATTTTTTTAATTAATAATTTGTTTTCATTCTTTAAAGTTTTATAAATTCAACTCTTAACATAAAATTTTACGTCTATACTTAGATGTGATTAACATAAGTACTGTGCTCTTTTATGTTTTGGTGTAGCTAGACAAGAAGATTACATATTGACTTAAGCTTGTCCCTAAATTCAACTTGGATTTGTGGGCTTCCATCATTTTATGCATTGAAATAATGCTTCATTATTTAGCTTGTATGGTGGAATGAGATTTTTCAAGGGTTAAAAACTCAAAATTATAGAGTGAGACTAAAATATTAATTTTGATCCGTTTTAGTATCTAAACTTTTAAGTTTTTCAAAATTTTACCAAATGTTTAGTTTTCATTTCATTTTAGAATCACTTCGTTAAAAACTTAACGCGTTTAGTACCTAAACTATCAGTTTTGGTCGATTTTAGTACCTAAACTTTCAATTTTTTCAAAGTTTAACGTTAAATTTTGGACGGGGTACTAAAATAAAACAAAAATTAAACATAAGATATTATTTTGAAAAAATTTAAAAGTTTAGGTACTAAAACTAACCAAAATTTATCTTTAGGTACTAAACCTATAATTTACCATTTTTTCCATCAGCCAGCCAAAAACATAAGAAATGTTTTTATTGCATTCCCAGATTTTATTAAATTTATATATTATCACACAATAGAGAGTTGGGTTTTAAAAAGATTATATTGTTCACATATACTCAATAATTTCACGTATGTATATGAAGTAGGAATGTCATAATTAACATGAAAATTCTAGAATCGAATCATATTGTATTATATATAGATGTATAAAGTTGCCATGCAATTTGGGAGGGGCTAGAAAACAATTGACTTATGAATTCTGATAACACCAAGGACCACAAAACCTGCAATTTGCTCAAGAAATTAAATTGAAAATCACCAAAGAAACAAAAAAGTGGGCATGTTTACATATTAACAATTTATTAATACCCATCGTCCAAATTTGGGTCGGTAATAGTTTATATGGTTTTGGTCATATAGATAATAGTATTATTCAAGTCTCACGTCAAATAAGTACGAGAGAGAGAATGTTCAACTAATGGATATAAACGATTAACGAAATATTATAAATCAATGCTTACTAGTGTACATGATCTAGGGATATTTTATAACTCGAGGACCACCACAAACTAGAGCAAAATGAAATCTGATTTGTCTGACTTCCAGTTGGTTAAAAGTAGGGCAACAAGCACCTCATCCTATTAGAGGGATTAAAAAGATACGTTAGGAATGGGGAATGAAGAACAAGTTGTGTGTCTGACGAGCACAATGATGCTACAGAATTTGGAAAGACGTCATTGCCCAAAACGCACTCACCTATATATTATTCTATTCATTTGCCAACTACTCCGAAAACACTCGCACCAATAAGAAAGCGATGAGACCGAGTGAGTGCACCACTTTTATTCTTCTTGTGAGTGGACGGGATTTGGGCACCTCTGGGGAAGGGACTGCCGTTTTAATCAAAACTTGGGGCTGCCATCCAGAGATATTTTTTAGGTTAGTGACATACATTTTTTTAATGGAATGACATAAATAAAATTTTAAGATTGATACTATAAGTAAAATAAGGAATTAATCGAAAAAAATTTATATTTTAAAGTGAACACATATCAACTTCAATTATATGCGACTCAACCACTGGTGACGGAGATACCATAAATAGTAAAAAGAACAACTTAAATAACTCCCAATTTATCATCTCTGAACGACTATTAGGACATAAATAAAAGATATACACGTGACTTTTATGAAAAAAATGAATTAATAGAATTTAAAGAATGAAAATATATTATTAATAAAAAATATAAAAATATTTAAATTATATAAAAAATATGAAACTTTCAAGAAAAAACTGCACCCGATTACTCTCCCCTTTTTCTTTTCAAACCTGCAAATAGCATTGTTCTGTCCAATAAAACCGAAAAGGAAAATCAAGGGCTTTAGCTGTCGTTGGCATTCGTTCACGTCGAAGAATGAGAAATATAGGCTCTACCATCCTGCTCGTAAAAAGGCCTTATCATCAAAAGTCAGAGGCAAGAACGAATAGCATTGTAAAGGTATTTAGTTCTAAATTCATACTTCAATGAATTTAGTCACCCACCTATTTTTATAATTTTTTTAGTCACCTAACTATCTTTCTAAAACATATAAAATATTACATTTTAATTCCATTTTCATCACCTACCATTAAAAAAATTAATAATGATATTGACATATCATCATAAGATAATAAAACATTATCATTCACATCAACAACTTTATTTACTTTTTAACAATGGATAACAAAAACGGAACAAAAATGTAACTTTAAGTATGATTTAAAAAAAATAGATGACCATCAGAATAGATGTGCGACTAAATACATAGTTTACCTTAGAAACTAATTGGAAGCAAACAAAAAGTGAAAAGGACTGAAATTTTACATATTTATGCATTTGGAAGTCTTTTGTAATTTGTTCTCTACAGCACAAGCCCCCGACAATTGGGTATTGTACACAAACTCGATAAAATGGAAATGGAACTGTCATCTTAGATATATCTAGAGTTGTCACTCCATTGTCAATGCAATCTTCTCCGGGAGCCAACCAAATAAGATTTCCACAAAACCCAAAATATGTCATCACATAATGGTGCACCGACTCCTTTCTTCTGCTGGTTGTGCCACCGGCTGATACCTGTTTGACTCGGAAGGGTTGTAGGTGAACTCCGATGTATCCAGCCCATACTGATTTACATGCAGTAGGAAGCATATTAGAGAAACAAATTGCAATAACAATAATCGACACGAGAAAAATAACACAGAAAAAGGCAAAAAGGGTGACTAGGCAGGATGTGCATTCTAACCATCTAAAACAATAGTCAACTTATGGGTTCTGTCAAAGGTAAAATTTATCCATTTGGGCGTGTTTAAGAATATGACTGATCAAAACATCAGTGAGCAGTGTTCACTAAATGTCACGGTTGAGCCAAATGCAACCATATCTAGAATTTCAAAGATGTTAATGACTTCAGAGAAAAGAAAAATATATTTAAGATTTTCTTCTTCCCTTCCCACCCTCTAAATATATGGTAGGAAATCTCAGCTAGAGAAACAATGTAGTAGAACATTTGATTCAGAGATTTCACTAGCATACAGCTTTACGTTGTAATTCTAAACCCTTGATGTTTTAGCAGATTATTTAATTCAATATCATGATTCAAGAGTATGGAGAAAATAAAGGTCCGATTTATGAACCTAAGTGATACATTATCATAAAGGGCAACCATATCAAAGGAATCACCAGAACAGAAAATACCTTTTCCCTCATTCGTGTACTCCAAGCATCATTTCTGCTGGGCCGTTGTTCAAGGGTGGGAACAGGTACACCTGCAGCTGGTGCTGGTGGCCGATTGATCAAAGGCTGTCTGATTTGTGGCCTCGGTGCAATAAACTCATCATCACTGTCGTAATAAGCAGGTCTGTTTGCAGCCCTAACCATAAGGGCTAACAAGAAAATGAGAGCCTGCAAGTTGAAATTGGTTTCATCCAAGTCAGTGGTATTAGTGCCCCAAACTATAGCAAGCATAGATGTTATGCTAATAGAGAAATCAGAGCCAGTTTTTAATTGATTCAAGGTTACTTTGATGCATAAGCAGTATCAAATCAATTCCATTTTAGTTCGAAGTAACAAAAACTTTAGTCTTAGTGCATTGTGGCCACACCAAATGATTGTCTTCTGGAAGTTATCTAAGTCTAAAATAATGTCATAAATGATCAGGTTAAACACAATCCACGATGAAAAGGAAAAAAAACGCACAACATTCCCCATAAATAATAATAGTTGATGAAGCTTTCAACTTCTCCTTAGCAGGATTAAATTGAATGCTTATCAACTTTTAGCTTACAATGACATTTGAAGTAATATCGTATCTCTTTTTTTAACTGGATATATTTTCCATAGATAGTCAGTCATTCAAGACAAATCATATAGTCATTCAAGCCAAATCATATATACTTTGCAAGAATAAAATGCCCTTGGCCAGAGGGACTTCTTATCCAAAAGAATCCTGCAATATTTCTGAAAGCTAAATGAAACTACAAAGACATAAAGTGCAACTGCCAAGAATAAACAATGCAATTTGTATGCTCTAAATGCTAAGAACCAAAGGGGGACTCCTTTCGTTTGAAACTAACTTAATTTAACAAGTCTTAGCCTATCCTATTACTGCTCAATTTTTTGCATGCAAATGATCATGAATTAGCATGCTTAGTGAAACTATCTTTAAGTCCTCAGAATTAGCAGCATGGCACGTTACACTTACCTGTAAGATAACAATTCCAAGAGCAACCCACTTGAGAATAGTCCAGTTTTCTTCCAGAAATTTGTATAGCATATCAAAATCTCCAGTTTTATCCATAGGAAGTTCCTAAAAAAATAAGCACTAATTAGATTACCAAGCAGACCTCCTTCAATTGAATAGGCCAATATGGGAACCAAAAAGTTAAAACATAACTTACTTCTTTCCAGTGTTTGTTGAAGAATATGAAAGATGCACATCCTAGCTCCACCAAGATTAAGAAGATCACCAAAACAGAATACTACATTACGTTAAGGAAACCAATGATCATGAAATAGAAGAAAAAGGAATGGTTATTGGTTAGGAATGACGAATGAGGATTAATAAATTAGTTCTTTATGAACTACTTGATCAAAATGTTTTTATGATGCTACACAAAATCTATGCGATATGTCATTGCCACCTTTCTAACCATCGAATGAGTAATTAGGATACACAAGTCAAGCAGCATATATTCCGTGTTGCAGCTCCAATACAACCAAAACAAGAGATAACAAAGAGAACCACACCTACTCCAACAAATAAGTATATAAACCTGCAAAATTGGAAAACAAATAGTTAAAACACAAGAGAACATGCAGAGAATTCAACTCAAATGTGCACATGAGTTCCTATTAAAATTCATATATTCAGAAACAAGTATATAAATACACCTAAAACCCAGAATAAGATTCTCCGAGAATACATATGACTCAAACAGGAATGCATAAACGTCATACCAGTGAATAACAATTAGAATGACACCTCAGGTGAGCATTAGGGGATCTTAGAAGCAGAAATTATTCAAGCTTTTATGACTCAAATTGAAGGGTGGTGAGTCAATGTTTTATTACATGTACAAACTTTAACTAAAGAAAACGAAAATTACACAAATTCTGCGCAGCCACATTTTGGATTCAACTGAACAAGCAAGCTAATCTGATTAGAAATAAGAAACGTGATATCAAACTATAAGCAAATGCTAAGAACTCATACCATGCTTTTGGCAGGTTATCGAAAATATCAGACGAAAGAGACACAGCCATGAACATGGGCCTACCAAACTGTATCAAATCTTGATTATTGCCCACAGGTGACAATAGCTTAGCAGCATCGTCAGCATTTTTGTACTCAACAAACAAATAGATGCCGTATCCAACCATGACCAAACCAACAAGAGTCATCAAGAAGTTCAGGAGCTTCAACAAGCACTCTAAGCATCCTCGACAAGCCATCCTCACCAATGATCTTTATCGATCCTTCCGAATACAGTTTTAATAAGTATATCCTACGTAATCAACTTAAAAAATACCTAAAGAAAGAGAAACCCACATTTAAACCTTACAATTATCAACAAATAAACCAGAAAATTGCAAAAATCATGGGAAAGGGCATCTGGAAAAATGATAAAAACTATTACAAACTCGTCTAAGCACTTACAAATTTTTGCTAATCGGAAAAAAAAAATCATCTTATTTGTGCAACGTAAACGGAAACAAGAAAAGGATTTTCTACTTCCCGTTATGAGCAAAATCAAAATCAGTTGAATGCTTAATATATATAATTTCTAACTTAGATCGCAGGAGAAAATTTAAACTGAAACAACTTACAATGATAATTACGATTGGGAGTTGAGATTGTTTAGTCAAATCAGAGATGTAGAGGGTGGGAAAAATAAGGACCCCTTTTCCCGTATTTGCTATTTCCATTTTTTTCCTATTTTTATCCTGTTTTGGTCCTATCAAATTCTAGGATCCCAAAATTGCCCTCTTTTAAGTCCAGCGTTATTTTTATTATTATTATTATTATTATTATTATTATTATTATTATTATTATTATTATTATTATTATTATTATTATTTTTCTAGTCCTATACTCCTGATAAATATAAGTAAGATTGGTATTTATATTTTTCAGAGTTTAAACTATATTTGACACTTCTCTCCTAATTATAAAAAATTATAATTTTGATATTATCTGCATATATCAATAAAAAAAATATGACTAAAAAATTAAAAAATCTAATATATATATATATATATATATATATTATTTTGTTGCTCATAAAGAGAAATGAGGACTTTCTTTTTATATTGCGAGTATTTTGGTTTTTAAATGATGGATGATGAAACAACGAGAGTGTGAAGCTGGTGTCACATACACGTGTTATGATCTTTTAAAGTGTAGTTAAATTCAACGACTGTGATTTGAAATGATGAATTTGGGCGGTGAGATTGCGGTAATCTACTGGTCCACTACCAATAAACTTATTTTTATTTAGATATGCTTCTATTTAAAATATATTATATTATACCAAAGATCTTATCATTTAATTGAACACGTCATTCTAATAATGAAACTAAATATTTTATTTTCTAAATAATCTAAAACTAAATCACTTTCATCTTATCCCTTGTTTATCGCCATTCTTCTATTCAGATTTGAAAGACGTATAAAATCTTTTTTTTCAATTGAAAAATTAAGAAGAAAAAAAAAACTTTAAAGTAAGGTAATTAGCATTCAAAATAATATTATATAGTAAAATAAAAGTTTGTTCATTTTGGGGAAGGTCGGGAAAATGGTAGAAGACAAGACACCAACTAACGGTCAAGGAGGTGAAGCTTAAAAAACATATAATAATAAATTCCTACCTAACCCATTCGGTGCTAATGACACCCTTTCCTTGTTGTTTTCAATTTACTCAAACTATACCTTTTTTTAACTACATCGGACATCACCTAGTTATGAGTTTTTAGGGAAAGATTAGTTTGTCTGAATTTGATGTTTTATGATTTAATTCATTTGAATTGATTTTAATTTTAAGAAATTAAATTCAGAATAAGTTGGTTCATCATTCTCAGATTGTGATTGAATTGGATTCGGATTTAGGATAAAAAAATACGCCCCAATTGATACACATTATCACTATATTTTGGATTCTCAGAAAAAAATATAATTATCTTTCGGGTTAATTACATCATATAGCATCAAAGGATGACTCTTGTTTTACACTGGTCTCTAAATTTTTAAACATTCTAATTTTCTCTAAATTATGATTATCATTCTAATATAGTCCTCAAACTTTTGAATATTTCAATTCCATCCCCAATTTATGCCATTTGTTCTAAATTTGTCCTTTAACTTTTAGAACATTTCGATTTCATTTCAAACTATATGTATATACTATTCACATCCCTTGTTAATAAATTATTAGACCAAGTTATATTATTATATGCTTGAAAAAAATTTAGGTTAAATTATGATTGAAACTAATTACATATTTGTATGGATATGAGGATGAAATTGAAATATTCAAAAGTTTAGGGACTAAATTAGAAAGAGGTTCATAATTTAGGGATGGAATTAAATTGTTCAAAAGTTTCAGGACTAATTTTGAATGAAATTCATAGTTTAGAGATAAAATTAAAATATGTATTTCAAATGAAGATTATAGTTTGAGGACATATAATACATGTAACACTGTAAATCAGTACGACACACAGTCGATTGATTAAAATGTCGTACGAAACCACCGAAGTGGCTAACCAATTTTTTCTTTAATTTCTCAATTTAAAACGGTCACTTAAAGTACTCATAATGAAATAAGTCAACCACGATTTAAATAAAACAATTTACATTTGGAGCTCCTAGAATAAATAAATCAAAATATACAAACCATCATAGTAATAGTTTACTACTCGATTATTCAAAATAAGGTTTACAAAAATACATGCCTTCTAAAGAACTCGATACGTACTGCTCTGGATCAAGGTTGAACAAAAAGGCTCCTCAACTGTTTATCTACTAACTTGCGTAAGGAAACAAATTCCAAACGCTAAGTTAACTAGCCCAGTGTCACACGAATAACTAAATCATACTAAAAGTGCATCAGAAAAATGCTCAAGCTTTTAAATTTTCATGCATAAGTAAGTATACTCATGTACTCTACTTTAAGGTAGATATCATAATGCGGCTAAGGGTTCTACACCTCATAGCTCACACACCCCTCTAGTCTACCGGGAATGTGGTATGTAATCTCTACATCGGACACAACACTCTCGACTAACCCACCCCTCGCGCGTGTTGGACCTCGTGCCCTAGTTAGTTAGTTTAAAGTGCCTCAGGTATTGATACCCTACCCAAGGTATCGATACCTCAAAACAAAATTCTCTTATTTTGAAAGGGTAAGTATCGATAATCATATGAGAGTATCGATACTTGGACCATGGGTATCGATACTCCTTAGAGTACCGATACCAAAATGGCATACTAGAATATCGGTCTCGATACCAAGCACCAATGTCTTGATACCGAATCGATACTCCTTCAAGGGATATCAATATTGCACTCATAAACTTCATAAATTTGGGACTGAACAAGAACAATATCGGTATTGATCCCTCCAGTATAGATACATTCCCTCGAGTTTGCCTTATTTAGACACTTAAATTCACTCACATTGCTGCCTAGAGGTTCTAAATGTTCTTAGTGTTTTATGTGATCAAGTAGGACCATAAATAAGGCTTTAAATATACTTTTAACATGAAACATAGAATCTACCATTAACATGCTCACCAAACTTTACTCTAAACCTTTATGTTGTCATACACTTCAATGACCCTTTAGTAAGTATGGAAGAGTTGTAAGTGTGGTTACCTTGAATTCTTTGATGCTAAACTTTCCCCAAATCAACTAGGGGTCACTTTGTCTTTTCCTTTTGCTTTGGAACTCTCCCATACCTCTTTCACTAAATAAGGTAAAGAATGGTTCATTAACTCATCTAAATGTTTAAAACAATATAATTTTATTCTCCATAATTCGAATCTTCCAAAAAAGAGTTAGAATTTATAGATTTACATAGACCCCACAAAAACTCATTTTTGGTTTTCAAGGCTAAAACTTATAATGTGGAGCTTAAATTAAAGCTAGAAGAATTATGGTTATCAATTTTACCTTAGTTGAATCAAACTAAACTTGGATTGTTTGATAACTTGTTTTTAGAAAAGAAGAGAAATGAGAGAAAATGGAAGGAAAAAAAGAGGAGTTGGTAAGATAGTATGGGGGTGGTTCATGTAAACTAGCTTCCAAAATAAAAAATAGGTAAATTACATTTTAAATCCCTATATTTTCTAAATCATAAAACTATCATCATCTTTCATAATTCTTTTGGGCCCAACTTAGCCCAATTCTAAATAAACTTTGTTCAAACTATTTTAATAAATATTTTGAGCTCTAAAATGGATATTGAGTTAACATAAACTACTGGCCCAATTTTCGGGGCATTACAAGGTCACTATCAGATCTCTAAAGAATATTGCCTCCTCGACACCCGCATCCCTAAACTCCTCAAAATCCATATCTATGACAAAATCATCACATATATCGCCTGTAATGGAAGCCCTACTCTCGTGCCTACCTTCCTGATTGTGGCATGTGATCTCATCCATATCTCAACTCTGAAATTTTAAACAATGCGAGGAGTTACTATCACTACTTCAGAAGCATAAGCACTCATAACATCCCTAGAGGCATGTATACTCATAAACTTTTTACGACTCTGACTCGCGGGTCCTAGGAATGTCTAAACTTGACGCTCTGATACCACTACATATAACACTTTAAACCAGTACGACACACAATTGACCGATTAAAATGTTGTACGGAACCACCGAAGTGGCTAACCAAATTTTTTTCTTTAATTACTCAATTTAAAATGTTAATTTAAAGTACTCATAATAAAATAAATCAATCACAATTTAAATAAAATTATTTACATTTAGAGCTCCCTGAATAAATAAATCAAAATATGCATATCATCATAATAATAGTTTACGACTTATTTATACAAAATAAGGTTTATAAATATACACACCCTCTACAGAACTCGAGATGTACTCTGCTTTGGATCTTGGTCTGGATCAAGGTTGAACAAAAAAGCTCCTCAATTGCTCCTCTACTAACATGCATAAGGAAACAAATTCCAAATGTTGAGCTAATTAGCCCAGTGTCATACTAACAACTAAATCATATTAAAAGTGCATAAAAATGCTCAAGCTTTCAGATTTTTCATGCATCAGTAATGTACTCAATCTTTACTCTAAAGTAGAAATCATGGTGTTGCTGAGGGTTCTGCATCTCGGAGCTCACACACCCCTATAATCTATCGAGGATGTAGTCTAGAATCTCTATATCAGACACAACACCCTCAACTAACCCACCCTCGCGGGTGTTGGACCTCACGACCTAGTTTTACCGCTATCTTTACTGAAGGAACTCAGGTGTCCTGATCATTTCCCGAACATTAATCAAAGCTAGTTTTATGTCACCCTAATTGAGGAAAACCCCATTTGCCTCTTAAAATTATTGGTTATTAAAGCCCAAAACAAAACTCTGGTATTAATACCGATCTTACAACATCGATACAACCTCTTTAAGTATCAATACCCTACACAAGGTATCGGTACCCTAGCTCAAATTTACTCTTGTTAGAAGAGATTGATACTTCAAAGAAAGGAATCGATCTTTTTGATATAAGTCAATCCTTTTAGCCTAAAATCCCGTAACACATCTTGGAATACATTTTCAAA